TCGTGTTGTTATTGATAATTGTTTCGCGTTTTTAGGGCTTTCTGCCACTTTCTGCTGGTGATGGAAGTTAAGTTATTCAAGAAGTTAATGAGATATATATTGTTCAAATTCAGAATAATGCGAAATATTTTTATTGTTATGAAAAAAGATATAAATAATTTTTACATGAATCTTAGAATAAAAAAGAAAAATATGAAAGCAAAAATATAACACATAATATATTAAATTAATCAATTCATATTAATTGTGTAGAGATAAAGGAAATAACATAAAATATGAAAGTTTAAAATAGAAAAGAAAATAAATCCAGTTCAAGGAAATAAATCTAAAATAGGAAAGGAAATAAAATTATATTTGAAAAATAAATTTAATACTCATAACATATAATATGAATTAATTATTTTCTTATATAAATTCTAATATCGTTATTCAAATTGAAATATGATTAAAAATCATGTTCATCTTGGATTTGAAAATATCAAACAATAGTTGAGAAAGACTATGTGAAGTAGAACTTAAAGTCTTCATCTCGTATTGTAATTGTTTTTAACTGTAGTTCCTGCAGTGTCTATAGATAGGCGGAAGATTATTACAAATAATGCTACATGAGAGTTTATAGGGAAGTAGACAATGTATGAAAAAATGACTTCTAGTTGACTGCAATTCTCTTTGACTATAGTTCCTGCAGTGTCAGTAGATAGACAAAAAACCCTTAGAGGCAATCTTGCAGGAGATTTTGTAAGGAAGTGGACAATCTACATGAAAAATTAACGTCTAGTTGATCGCGGTTGTCTTTGACTGCAGTTCGTGCAATTTATATAGGTAGGTGAAAGGCTCATAAAGGCAATGTTGCCGGGAGTTTGCAGCGAAGTAGACAACCAACAGAAAAAACTACAGGGCATGGTCTGCAAAGAAAGAAAAAGCTCCAGAGGTAGACTTTGCTACAGAAAAAGCTCTGGAGGTGGGCTTGATATAGAAAAAAAACTTTAGAGGAAGGCCTCCTATAAGAAAAGCTCTAGAGGAGAGTTTGCTGCATGATAGACTTTGAAGGAGAGCCTAGTGCAGGAAAAAAACTCCGGAGATAGACTGACTGTAAGGAAAAACTCCGAAGGAGGGTCTGGAATTTGAAAAAACTCCGAAGGATGGTTGTTGGAAACGAAGCTCCCCCTGACGCTTTCAAAGGGAAGGGAAAAATGTTGTATGCAGTGCTCGATTTTAGGATAAAACCTGTGTTAATTCCTGTGACCGGGAAGAATAGCATAAAAAACTACTTTGTTTCTTGCAGGAAAGTCCTTTGGGTAAAAACAATGGGTAGGTCCTTCGGGGAAGAACAGAGGGAAAGTCCTGCAGCTGGGATAGACAGAGGAGAAGCCATCGGCACACAACCCATCAGAGAGGGGTCCTTGGTGAGAGGCCGCAGTAATCCACTATTGGTTGCCCACGTTAGCATGAACCTTTGGAAAACTAATAGGGAAGAGAAAAACGGGCGACAATTAGGGTGAAAAACGACAGCAACTGGGGAACCGGCGGCTATAAATAGTAGAAAATTATCCATCGAATATATTTCTACAGAAGTAAAAACAGCAGGAAAAAAACAACAAGCGCTTCACTGCCTTCAGAAGACGCTTTTTGGTTCGACCGCCGCTGACGTATTGCCCGATCATGGCGCGACAACCACTTGGGACGATTTTTTCCCCGCTTGCTCGAGATGGGACTTTACTCCTACCGGTTCCATTATCAGGGTTATGGCTGATTACAATAGCGCAGTTCCCATACTCCCTCGCGAGCATTCCACGATCTCCAACATGGTTCTCAACGATGCATACAACAGCGCCCTAAGGGATGGAGCGAAGAGGAGGAACATTTCCGACCATGAGAGACGCTTTGCGACCGCAGTACACGAATTGACCGGTGCAAATGCCATCGGCCGCGACAAAGAGATCCTCCTGGTGCTTGTAGCGGAATGTATGGAGGAAGGTTACGCGGGCAAGCGGTACACCGCATCCGGGGTCGTGGATGATTTTGATGACCACACTGTTAAGACATCCATTACGCTCGCTGAAGTCAAGGTTGCGGGAAAACGAGCTGGGACCATGCGATGGTGGGTATGCCATCGGAAAATTGAACCTGCGCCGTTTCTTTGAGCTCGGATCACTACCCATGGCTAGGGTGTAAAGGAGCCGAACACACACGAGCCAGCTGAGGCTCTGTTCCTGTTCAGCTCGTTTGTTATGATAGCTGTTTGAAATAGCTTATGCTCAAAATTAGTTTGTTTGTGTTCGACTCGAAATTATTTGATATTGTTCGAAATGGCTCGAAAATAAGCTATTTATTTGTTCGACTTGAGGTCTTTAGCTCGAATCAACTCAAGCTTAGCTCGGGAACCAGCTTGAAGTTTTTTTTAAAAAAATTATATTTATTGATTTTTTTAGAATATAAATTTATAACAAACAATTTTACATAAAAATAGCAACTAAAGCAATAAAATTTTTATTAAGAGAATCACAATTACAAATTATAATATTCAGTACACATCAAAATTTTACACAAAAAAAATTACATTAATAAATATAAACATAGAAAATAAAATAAAATGAACAGAAGTCTTATACATTTCTAAAAATCCTACCCTCGAGTTGATCAGGCAGAAGTCAAATGTAGGACAATATAAATAAAATTTATGTCGAGTGTACAACGAACCGATATTTTACCTGCATCATCGATTTTGAAGTCCTGTAAAGAAAAAAAAGTTAAATTGAATTAATAACTGAAACTATCATATATAACCACAACAACAACAAACATTTATCCTACTAAGTGGGGTTGACTACATAAATCCCTTTCTCCAATGCATCCTGTTGATTGTCATATTTTCATTTAATTCTAGTAAATTAAGATCTTTTTTTTATATACAATATGCCCAAGTCTTGCCAGATCTACCTCTGCTTTTCTTAACATAAGTCGAATCTAAAACATCTACTCTCCTAATTGGATCAGGAGATGATTGGCGTTTAATGTGACCAAACCATCTATGACGAATCTCTCTATTTTGTTTACCACTAGAGCTCCACCAACCCTATCACAGATATATTCATTTTGCATTTTGTCTCTAAGCGGAAAACCACTCATCCACCTAGTCATTCTCACCTTGGCAACACTTAACTTAGTTTTATGCCTCTCTTTTAAAGGCCAACATTTTAAAGGCCAACATTCAGTACATTCAGTGCCATAAAACATTGCAGGTCTCACCACCATCTTATAGAATTTTCCCTTCAGTCTAGGAGGTACTTTTCTATCACACAATAAGCCCAACACATTCCTCTACTTCAACCAACCTACTTGAATTCTAATAATAACATCCTCATCTATATAACTATCACTTTGAACAATAAACCACAGATATCTAAAGCGTTCACACCTTTTAATAATTTGATCACCCATAGTTGCAACTTTGCTACTAGAGCTATTATTATTAAAATTGTAAAATTTATTATTAAAATTGCATTCCATGTATTCAGTTTTAGTTCAACTCAAACGAAGGCCTTTAGACTCCAACGTAGACCTCTATAATTCAAAATTTTCCCGAACTTTCTCTCTAGTCTTATCCACAAGAAGGCTATCATCAACGAAAAACATACACCAAGTTACATCCTCCTATAAATGTCCAGTAAGAGCGTCCGCAACTTTCAAGCATGTATGAAAGTTTAAGTTTCATAAATCAAATGCGCAAGTCTAGCACAAAGAAGAAGACCAATTAACTCAATCAGACCATCGTGAAAGTATACTTATTATGCTCTATCTCAATAATTTGCTCTTCCCACAAGATCATAATGAACTCAAAAGATCATACTCAAACCAAAATTTAAACATACATAAGCTCCGAAGTGAGAAAAATAAGATAATTGGAACCCTAGAAACTAGGGCATTTTGTCTTTGCCTCCTTTCTCTCTCTATACTGAAAGAAGAGAGGCCCTAGTCTATATTTCACTTTTAAAAAGATTTAAAGTGACATGCATGTAAATAAGAGTGTATACGTGCTAGATATGTGAATACATAATAATTGTGCGGTATGCATGTAAATGCCCTGAGTTTTAAATTCCTGATGAAATTGTTTTGGATTTACTTCGCAGCAAATCAAACATTTTTAATTTTAAAACTACAAACCAAACACAGAAGACATACAAAATGAATAGATTGTAGCTCCACTGCATCAAATTTCAGACAAACAAACTCTTCAGCTTTCTTTAATCAAATGAAAGTTGTTAGGATGAAAGGAAATTAAAATAGTTTGTGTGTTAATACAAATCTACAGACATGAACCAGAAACTGTTAAATGTCAATCCCAAATTTTTTTTTTCATTTACTTTCAGTCAAGATTTTAGCATGCAATAATTGCAAAGTTGCAGTTTTGCAAACCGTTTTAAATCAAAGACAAAAAGGAGACCACACAGCCACGCACTCACCTATGCTGCATTTTACATATAGAACTCAAAACAGTACGTGTTCTAAAACTCTGCAAGGGAGAAAGGTTCCAATTTCTATTAGTCTCAAAGATCAAATAAGCCATAATAATCATCACCCTCAACAAATAAATCATAATGTAACAGAAAAAAAAAATATACCTTTATCAGCAAGAACGAAGAGGAAGAAAGAGAGAAACTTGCTGGCGCTGTCGAACTAAAAACGGGGCCGAATGAGAGAGAACAAACCTTAGTTCGATATACCTGCATCTGGACTACATTCACTGTTTGCCATATGTACAATCTGAGCCCATTAGTAAAAAAAAACTAAATAATTTAATATACGGTGAGTCCGGACTGTACAAATGACAGACAGTGATTGGAGTCCTGATGCAAAAATGCATCAGGACTTCTGATATAATATTTTTTAAGTTCAAATGCATCAGGACTCCTGATATAATTTTTTTTA